AAGAAAGTATGAACATCAATCCATCATAATTGTTACACAAATACAATAACAATTATTTAAATTTTAAATTATATGAAACACATTAAAATCATAACTGCTCCAATAGATCACTAGTTCACCACAAATCTTGTAACCTATACAAAAAACAAATTCATGTTTTAGCAATTCAAACATCCATAACAATTATAATGTTATAATATAAATTATACCACATAAATATTCTTATAATTACTAAAAAAATATAAAAAAATTAAATATATTTTTTGCGGGTAGGGTAGGGTAGGAATGCGGAAATTGATGGGTATTCCGCATTCCTACCCGATTTAATCAGAAGACCAAAACTCTTCCGTATTCCTACCTAATTTTTGTGGTTAACCGTTCAATAGGATAGAGTAGGGTTGGAAATTGCGGCAAATCATAAATTTGAACACCCGTAGGTGCCATGGACGACTTGTGTGTGAATAAATACAAGCCGAGAGGGAACATTCAAAACTTCAATTTGGGGGATATGGGTTGTTGTGAGCACTGCGAATGTCACCCAAAATTGGTTTTTTGGGAACAAGAAGTCCATGTTGATATTCAATTACTTGTTCCGAATTGGTGGTGCTGCGGTTTTGCTATCAAACATTTCGTCAGACAAGTGGAGGGGCAAAGTACTGTGTGTATGTTTTTACATACAACGAGGCAATACTAAAAGTTGTGCATTCAAAGTTGATTCACTTGAACAGAATAACAATTGAACAATAACAAGTTGATTCACCAATTATAATCAATACAAATATTCCAACTTTCTGCTAGTCTAACCTTATGTTAAATTCCTTAGATCTGCTATTCCTTTTTTTTTTTTTCACACACACAGCAGCAACACACACACACACCCATACATATATCTAACAATGTATACGCATATATTCATAGATCTGTGTATATATCTACGGAGATAGTGAGATCTATTTTAAAAACTCACATTTGTGGCAATCGAATCATCTAGCTGAAGAAGTTTGAGATGGGATTGAGGTTGAGAGATGAAGATTGAGTCTGAAGAAGTCTGGCTGTCGAATGCATCTTCTGGCTGATGCAAACGGGGGAGAGAGAGAGAGAAAGATACAAACACAGAGGTTAGAGAGGGAAATGAATTGGGTTTTTATACTTAAAATATTTGTACTCTTATTTGGTACTTCATTCGTTCCTAAATATCTGTTATTTTACACAATTTTTTTTGTTGCATAATTAATATTTTTTCTTTCAAATTTACCCTTAATTTTTCAATGTATTAAATTAGGTGAAGGTTAAGTGTCTTTCATATTATTTTTTTTTCTAATATATATTAAATAAGAATATTTTAGTCTTATGCAATTATTTTTTTACTCATATTAGAGCTATTTAATAACTTTCTTAATCCCTGTAAAAAAACTTTAAACGACGGATATTTAAAAACGGAAGAAATAGTTAATAGGATTCGAAGACCACACCTTATTAAATGCACCCCAAGCCGCGTGCCTGTTTTCATTTTGTGTGTGTTTTTTAAAATACCATTTTTTGGTGTTTAGAGATTTGGGGCTTATTTTTAAAACAAGGTTGGTGGAAAAAAAATGGAAACACAAACACAGACAGAGACATATTTTTATTTTTATTTTTGACAAAAATTAAAAACAAAAATTGAAAAGAATAAAGACAATGAATTATCAAATGCAACATTAATCTTTAAATTGTATTTCAACTAAGTTTGTCGGTCCAAATTCGTCATCAATTGTAACATAAAAAAAAAACATAATGCAAGGATTATATAATACTAGGGATCATCCGTGCATAAAATTACGGTGCAATGTGAATAATTTTGAGAGAGATGTTGGTGGCCGTTAGATGAGTTTTTTTAACACTGTCGGATGAACTTATTAAAATATACACTATTTTATATTATAGATGTATTATTAACCAAAAAAAATAAAAATGTTCTATAAGTCATAGGAATAATTTTGATGAAAAAAAACACACATATTTATCTAATATTACATCTAGTAATTTGAACTCCTATGAAAGCAAAGATTGATTCAATGTTATTAGATACATACATAAAATATTATTAGAGTTGGATTGTTCATAATTAACAGCCGACTAGGCTTGGTACACGTGATGCTCACGTAATGGTTTTCTTTTAGAGCCGGTGACCGCATTGGACCAAAAGATTTAGTCGAAACATTTCTTAAAATCTAGAGGGACTAAATAGAAATCAAATATACAATTTAAAGGCATAAAATATACATAAAAAAGAGAGGAAGAATTATACTAGATTCCTTAAGATTTGTCACTTAATCATTTATACTCTCTTACATTTAAAATATTACACATAAACTTCCTAAAATTTATACATTCATAACTTTTAGACCTCTGTCTTCAATGTTATTTAGTATATCTTTAGTAAATTATATTTGGACCCATTAAAGTTATAGGAATTTAATACTTAGACCCTTTAAATTTAAAATATTATACTTAGACTAAAAATAATCTAATCCAAGATAGAATATCAAATATTTTAAATTTTATAATTAAAATTTGTGTTCTTTTATGTCATTTATTGAAATAAAATTAAAAATAAAAATCTAATTTTTTTTCTTAAAAAATTATAATTGATATACAATTATAATATCTATTGAAATTTAGTTTGATAGTTTAAACTATCAAATTATCCCAATTAAAGCTAGAATATATTGTGTCCATTATAGTTTGACTCCTTATTTAATTTTTTAGTTTTATTCTAATAGATAGTATAATTACATATTAATTATAATTTTTTAAGAAAAAATTAGATTTTTATTTTTGATTTTATTTTAGTAAACGATATAATAGAACATGAATTTTGGTGGTAAAATTCATGTTTTATTATGAATGACTTAGACCTCTTGTTTAATTTTTTAATTTTATTCTAATAGATAGTATAATTGTGTATTAATTATGATTTTTTAAGAAAAAAATTAATTTTTTATTTTTGATTTTATTTCAATAACTGATATAATAGAACATGAATTTTGATTATAAATTTTAAAATATTTGATATTCTATTTTTGATTGGAGTATTTTTGGTCTAAGTATAACATTTTAAATTTGAGGAGTTAAGTATTACGTGCATATAAATCTCAAGGGGTCTAGATATAATTTATTAATAGATATACTAACGGATATTTGATAAGTCTAAGTAGTACGTGCGTACAAACTTTAAAAGTTTATGTGTAATATTTTAAATATTAAGAGGGCTTAGTAATTAAGTTACAAATTTGAAAGGTACGAGTAAAATTATCCAAAAAAAAAAAAGGTACACAAAGACTAGATGCAAGACTTCGTAAGACTTGAGACAAGTCTTGCTTGCCGTGCGATAAAAGCCTTAACACTAACATCACACTTTACTTATTAGAGAGAGGAAAGAGAATGCTTGAGAAAGTTAGAGCTGGCAGTGATAGATGGAGAAGACAGTGACGGTGTTGATCTTGAACTCTTCAGTGATCGCAAATCAATTGAATAGGGAACATTCACTGCACGAGAAATGGTGTGTCAGATGTGAAGATGTCCAGATGAAACTGAAGATCTTTGGCAATCATTGCTAATTCAGGCATAAATATCCCTCAGAAAAATGGACAAAGGGACGCAAACTCGAACCAGAATAAGTCCATTAAGCAAAACCCTTCGATCTTATACTGACTTAAACTTCGAAAGGGATTAGCTGGGCACACGCCTGACCCCCTTTTTTTGACTCTGTTGTTTCAGGTTTGCCAATTGAGAGATCGCTGCCTTACACGATTGCAGGAAATATCCCATGCAAAACTCTAGTTTGACTAAAGGAGAGGATGCTAGATAAGACAACAGGATGAAAGGAGAAATTGCTAAATCACGCAAAAAATAGATGGGGCAAAGGAGAGCGCCCAGAGACATATATGGTTGCAGATAACTCTATATTTATTTGCTTGGCAAAAAAGGGATGAGACAAAGGAGAGCGTCCAAAGACACCTTGATAGACCTTCACCAGTGGGATCATGAGGCCTTTGACCTCATCTGTTACTCCTCTTAGGAACGAATCTACCTAGGTTAGAGTAGCGGTCAACCACCGAACCCCAATATTGACTCTAAGAATCGACCTCTCACCTTAAGATGAGAAGTTCGGTTGGTACCTCACTAAACCATCCCACTCGATGGTTTTATACATGATATTTGTTTAGTTTTTGAACTATCAATACTTAAACTTTAAATTGTATTTTTAACTAAGTTTGTCTGTCCAAATTCGTCATCAATCATAACATAAAAAGCATAATGTAAGCATTATGTAATTTGCGCTACTAACCAACAAAAATAAAAATGTTCTACCGTCATAGGAATAATTTTGATGAAAAGAAACACAAGACACATTTATCTAATATTATAGCTAATACAAGACAACCCCACTAATTCACACTTACTTCTTTCTCTCTTATTTTTTGTGTTCACTTTAATTTGAAATTACATAATTTCAGAAAAAAATTGTTATTTAAAACTTAAATATTGCACAATCAATATATATATATATATATATATATATGTATGTATGTATATATATATTTGTAACGTATGAGAATACAATACAATGTTTTTTTTTTGTATTGGTAAGTGGATGCATATATACACACAGAAAATCTAGGGGGACCATAGTTATACGATTTAAAGGCATAAAATATACACAGAAAAAAAAAAAAGGCACACAAAGACTAGATACAAGATTTCTCTTGAAGGTAAGTCGCGCTTGCCATACGCTAAGAGACTTCACTCAACACTAACATCACACTTTACTTTTTAGAGAGAGGAACATGCAGAGAATGCTTGAGAAAGTTAGAGCTGGCAGTGATAGATGGAGAAGACAGTGACGGTGTTGATCTTGAACTCTTCAGTGATCGCAAATCAATGTTTTTGATCCAAGTATGGTCTCTCCCATCTCTGTTTTAATGTGGCCAAAATATAATAATTTTCTGTGAATCCATATGATTGGTTCTCTGATCAATCTTTCATTGGATCCAACAAGACCTGGTGAATCCTCAGTCCTTTTACATCTCTTTATTCCAATTGCTACCTACATCTGATTTCCCATCAAGCACATATTGCTAGTTTGATCTGCTCAATCTAAATCATTGCTGTAGCTACATCCTGCATACCCTGCGAAAACTTTTTTTTGTTTTTTTGAATTCTGAGTGTTAATCAGGTTGTTATTAAGAATAGATTGCACCAAAATGTCGGTCTTTTTGGAAATTTTGTACCGTATTTGTTGCTGGAACGATGAACAAGGAAAAGATGATCTTAACTGTGATAATGAAAGCTTGCTCAGAAACAAAAGTAGAAATCCAAACCCTTCTGATTATCATGCTATTGACCCATTTCCAAGGACCTTTGCTCCAACTACTTACACTAATCACTTCATAAAGCAAAACAATGCAAAGACCGGCCTTCAGAACATTCAGTCACAAAGCTATTCAAATTCTTCAAAATTGGCTCAGACATCGATAAACACTAGCCTCTCTGTTCGAACCCAAGAGATAAACCAAAAGAATTCAGTTCCAAATAAGCTGCTTGATGCTTCAAAAGTCCCTCATAAGCCGACAATTTTACCTTCATTGTCCTCTTCTAGTTATGTTGTTCAAAGTAAGACAGTTAATTTCGAAACAAACAAAACAGCTGACCAAAAATGGACCCAGAATTTTTCTCCAATTTCCTCTCAACCATCTCCATCTCCATCTTCCTCTAAACCCCCAACTTTATCTAAGCAAACTCAATCTTTAACAAGGACACACACAACTTTCTCCAAACCATCACCATCTTTGTCTGTGCCACCTCTGTCTTCCTCTAAACCGACTTCACCATCGTCCTTATCTTCATCTTCTTTTCAGACTTCATCTTTCCCGAAACCACCTCCACTTTCGAATAAGCCTACTCTTTCTCCTGCTTCATCTAATCCGAAAAATGACCAGACACACACCAAGTACATTTGGGTTCAGGAGGGTTCATCACCTACACATGTGATTCCCGAGGATATCAAAGAATTGATTAAGAAAGACGTTGTTCCTGGAGTGCTCAAGAAGCCCTTGTCTCCGTTGACCTACAAGGATTACTTTCATGCTCTGCTTTATGCCGAGGATTACTACCTTGAGGTACATAGAACAAATATTTTTATTTCTGCTAATATTTTGTAACTCTATTATCAAATGTGACATGGAATGAATGGAATATGCTCCTTTATTAGACATTCTAGATGTTGAATATGAATTTTTTTATACCACAATAAGACAAGTCAACCATATGGAACATATGATCAGAGACAATCTTTACTAAGAAGCACAAATACACAAACGGAATACATATATGACATGACATAGATATGCCGACATAAATTTTATAAAAAAAGTAAGATGTGCATATGGACAAATTGGGAGACTTGCGAAATAATATATATTCATTCTATTATATATGATCATATAATAATGTTAAGAGTTCTTGTTTTTGTCATCACATGAACAAAAACAGTTTTTGTAAATCAAAATTTGATTTTTTTTGTCGACTTTGTGCCTATATTAAAGTAAGATTCACTCATCATTTTAAGTAAATTTTTGTAAGTTCGTGTTCTACTTTGTGAAAATAATGAATGAGAAAATATGTTCCAAAGCGAGCCATTTGGAATGTGAAAATAGAGGTCGGGCCATTTGAGATTTAACGTCAATTCCACATTGGTTAGGTAAAAAATCTTAATTGAGCATATATACTTCAAGTTTGCTCTAAGGGTTGGGGCCCTAGGGGTACCCCACTTTTGTGGATGATAGAGGATCTAGATGGACGTAGATTCGACCACACACGTGCGTGTACCCCCACCCCACCTTCCCTTGGTCGTATCGGACTTGCGTATTGGTGTGGTGTGGTGTGGTTCAAACTCAAATTCAAACTCAATATAGAGGTCGGGTCATTTGAGATTTAACGTCAATTCCACATTGGTTAGGTAAAAAATCTTAATTGAGCATATATACTTCAAGTTTGCTCTAAGGGTTGGGGCCCTAAGGGTACCCCACTTTTGTGGATGATAGAGGATCTAGATGGACGTAGATTCGACCACACACGTGTGTGTACCCCCACCCCACCTTCCCTTGGTCGTATCGGACTTGCGTATTGGTGTGGTGTGGTGTGGTTCAAACTCAATATTATTTTTTGGATAAAATTTGTTTGTCAAATGGGTTCTTAATTTCTTATTGATTTTGATTTTTTGCCTGGAATTCAAAGTTTGCACTGGTTTTGATTTTAATTTCCCACAAGTTTTGATTTTGGTATTATTTCATGGTTGTTTATCAATGGACATCTTTGGTTCTTTTCTTAGTTTTCATCTTGTTGTTTTGGAGAGGAGAACCCTATGTAAATCTTCACACACGATTATATACATGGAGCTCAAGACATTATATCTAGAGGGGGGATGAATAAGTTTTTCGATTTAACACTCAATTGATTACCAATTAAAACTCCACTACAATTACCTCTTCCCACAAAGATTAAGAAATTAATGTGAGAACCCCTTTAGTCCCCATAACCACTAATGACCATGACAATTGATTAAATTAATATTCAATTAATTCGCTCATAATCAATCTCACGTCGATCTCAATCCTCAAACCCAAATTGTACAACTATGTCCGTGTGTGCAAACAACGACAAGTGTATACAATAATCAATAAAGAACATAAGTGATTTGTTAACGCAAAAACCCTTCTCGAGAAAAAATTGTTGGGAACCACTTGAGATTCACAAAAGCCTAATCCACTACTCGCTAAAGTCAACATACAAGTTCTTGAGACTTATATCTCAACCAATACCATGGTTAGATACTTCTTTTCTTATTGTCTCTCCATCAAAGGCCCTCTTCCAATGCCTAGTGTAGCTTTACTTGGACTTTTCCACTTCTCGGTTTGTCTTGGCATTGAACGATTATGGGCATACCAATAATCCTCGGTATGTATACACTAATGGGTTTATCAAACCATCAAGATTGTCAACTCTAATTTGTGAGGTTAGGTAAAAACTCAAGTGGAAGCCTTTGGATCTTAGGGATCTAGATTGTGGTAGAAGCTTTTAAGGTAGAAGTATGTTTTTCTCTCTTAGAAATATCTTTAGAGGCATAACTTAGATGTTAAAAAAGGCTCTCCTTATTTATAGGTCTGGAATAAGAATAGTCTTAATAAATAAGAAAACTTAGATTCGGGAATTACCGCTCGATCGGTGGGAGGGCGATTATTGGGCGGTTGACACCGGAATGAAAACGTTTTAAACACAACTAAGGCAAGCACCGGTTGAGCAACCATGAGTACCGTTCGAGCGAGCTCATAGATAACCCAGATTCATTATATATAATTAACTAAAACAAATTTTGTCAATAATAGAGTCATTATATACATCATTAGAGTGTCCATATCAAAGAGTACGAAACTGTCCAACAATCAATGACTACTACAATTTTCATTTTAAAAAATATTTCACTTTGTAACACTAATTTTCATCAATTTCAAAGAGTCCCAATTTTGTTACCCAATTTTTTCTCACATTACTTTTATATTAAAAATTTACTCCATCTGTATATAAGTTTGTATCCATATTTAAATTTTTTTTACATTCATTTCATATGTTCAATGTAATGATTATAATTTCTTTTATATTATGACTTTGACTCATATCTCTTTAAAATTACAAAAATAATTCTTAATTATAAAGTTATCTAAAAGTTTTTTAAAAAATTAAAATAAAAACTCAAAACATGTTCCCATCGCGTTGGCTGCTTGTCCTGAGCATGTCGGCTATGTGTCTTGAAAAAAAAAAATTAACGATAAAAAAATCGGACACTCATTTTAGCATATCCGACACGTGTCCAAACATATTCATGTCCCAGACGTATCCGACATCGACAATCTGGCCAAAGTGAAGTGTCCATGCTTCCTAGATTTTGAGTATATGACATTGTCCTTCCAACACTAAACACACCAACTAGTTTATAGCACTAGTTATTGAGTGCAAACTAAGCCAATGGTTTAGTAAGAATATCACTAGGCGATCACTAGCCTTGAAGGGGAAAATTAGAGTAGTTCTTTTGTGTTATTAGTTCTAATAAGTCAATTTAAGGTAATATCGCATTAAACAAGATACTAGTTTAGTATAAGTGAGAGATTGTAATATAGTGGGGTTATATTGTATAAGTCTATATGTATCCTATTTAATACATCCATTTGAGTATGAGTGAATTGAAAGAATTCTTCCATTATTGTTTTTGTGAGCGTGTGATAGTCCTCTAGATTACAACAAAGTGGTATCAGAACTAGGCTTGAGTGTCAAAAAAAATAGAGAGAGAGATGTCGAATGGAATGCTTCCATTTCAAATGCCCTAGTTCACCAAGATAAGTTTGAGAATCGGTAAATCTGTATAAAGGCGATTCTTGGATCTCAAGACTTATAGGAGATTGTAACAATTGGTGACACAACACTATAAGATGAAGCTTCCTTAAGTCAAGCCTAGAAGGAAGCCTTGCAAGATACAACGAATAAGGATCAAAAAGCTATTTCACTCATCCATCAATGCTTGGATGATGTCATGTTACAACATGTTATTAGTGCAACCATATCCAAACAAATATAAGATGTTCTTCAAACTGCTCCTAGTAGAGTGCAAAAAGTCAGAAGTTCACCTCCAAACTCTATGAGGTGAATTTGTGGCTTTACATATGAAAATATCCGAATTAGTTTTAGATTATTGCACAAGAGTCTTGGTTGTTGTGAATAATTTGAGAACGTATAGTGATGATCACTATGATAATACCTGAGTGATCGAAAAAATCCTACGTTCATTGGACCCCAAGTTTGACTATATTGCTATAGTCATTGAAGAGTCTAACGATTTAGATACAATAACGATTGACGAACTCATGGGATTGTTATTAGCCCATAAAAAACGGCTAAGTAAGAGAAGCAAGAGTCATTGGAGCAAGTATGACAAACCAATCTTTCTTTCAAAAAAAAAAAGAAAGGCAAAATGGAAATCAAAGGGGTAGAGGGTGTGGACGTAGAGGTCATGGTGGACATGATCGAGGTAAAGGAGAAATCTTTGGACAAAATTCATCCAACAAAGAAGAAAAAAAGCCAAGAATCACACCGTGGAAGAAGCAACAATTCAAAGTCATATGGAGAGAGGAATGACAAATCTCATATTCAATGTTATAATTATCACCGATATGACATTTTTGCTTCCAAGTGTAGAAATGATTTTGTTGAAGAAAGAACACACTTTGTTGAAGACAAAAGTGAAGAGATAGAGCGAACCTTGTTGTTGGTAGACAAGAAGGACAAGAACATGTGGTACCTTGACTCCGGTGTTACTTATCATGTGTGAAAGTAAAGAAAAATTTGTGGAGCTTGATGAATCGATGAGTGGAAAAATCACTCTTAGAGATCCTTTTGAAATTTCTGTAATAGGAAGAGTTAATATTTTGATTCATTTGAAGGATAGAAAGCTCCAAGTTATTTTTAATATTTTTAATGTACCAAACATGAAAAATAATATTTTAAGCTTGGGACAACTTTTAGAGAAATATTATGATATTTGCATGAAAAATCATAATCTTTCAATAAGAGATGGAAATAAAAATTTAGTTGCTAAAGTGTCTATGACAAGAAATAAAATGTTTTTGTTAAATATTCAAAGTGATGTGGCAAAATGCTTAAAATCACATGTTAAAAATTCTTTTTGATTATGACACTTGAGATTTGGGTACTTGAATTTAAGAGGACTAACTTTGTTGTCTAGAAACAAGATTGTTAAAGGATTGCATTTTATCAACCACCTGGATCAACTTTGTGAGGGATGTTTTGTTGCAAAGCAAACTAGGAAAAGCTTTCCATTTCAAGGGCTACTGAGCCACTTTAACTTGTTCACTCAGTTGTTTGTGGGCTCATAGACCGACCTTGGTTTGCCAAGAACTGGTATTTTTTTTCTCTTTATTGATAATTTTAGTCAAAATGTGGGTTTATTTTTTAAAACAAAAATCAGAAGTGTTTGGTGTGTTCAAAATGTTTAAGTCTTTGATTGAAAAATAAAGTGGGTATGAAGTTAAGACAATTAGATCCGGTAGAGGAGGTGAATTCACATCATATGAATTCAAAAATTTTTGTGAAG